CAGTTAAAAATTGCATGAAGAACAAAGTATTTAAATAGCACAAAGTGGAGAAAGTTTATCGAAGTCAAGGAAGAACGTAAGAAGCGATGAATGACCAAGAAAAAGTCATTTAGATAAAGGCAATTCGGGTTGGTTTGTGGTGGAATAAATCGACTAAAGCGATGTGTTCAAGAAGAAGTTCAAATAAATTTGAAAAGCAACTAGGAAAAAGGGAAGAATGTTGCATCTAAGAGCGATTACAGACTTGCGATTTACTCTCGAATCGACGGGAATGGGGATCAATCCTACGTGGATGAGCTTGGAGTGTGTAAAGCCCAGATCAGCCATAATTCGAGGCTGAATTGGCGCTAAACACAATCAGGAGTTATTCCTCTTTGTCGACACTAGCGCCACTTTTGCTACGTGTTCCGCTCTCAGCTGTCAATTGATGTTTTTTTTTTATCAGAAACCGTGAAATCTTGCGATAAAATTACGAAAATTGGAAGATTCACAGAAGAATTGAATGATTTTAAGAGCCAAGGAAATCATTCGCGTTTTGAATTGTGCGTTTTGAATTGTGCGTTTTGAACTGTCAAATGATTCGGCGAATTTCCGTCAGAGCGCGCTGTCATCGGGAACCCCATAAATACCGGTTTAACCTTCGATATATCAAGGAATTACGTGCGTTTTGTGGCTCAACCAGCTTTCTTTCACACTCAGGCTCTCGCTTACCCTCCCGTGGATTATCAGCAAGTCTGTAATCGTTCTAAGGAATGGATATGAAACAGAAAATGCAGGCAAAGATGTAAAACTTCTCTTTAATGTGCAATACTTTGACGATTCTTTGCGAAATTCCTTCAAAAACCTCATGATTTTTGATTGCCATATTATGCTTGTCATCACTGTATGTGATAATATGAATTTTTTCGCAAAAGAGATTACGTAAAATAATATAACACCCCTTAAATTTTTCCCCACGCTTTTTTTTTTTAGATGTTATTTAGACCCATTTTATGTCAGTGCAATAAACACAAATAAAATCTACAAAGACTCTCCTCCGTTGGTCCTTTTTTATCTCCCCAAAAAATTCTTCACATGTTTTCCAACTCTCGAGCTTTCGCCCCATTTTCCATGGCAAGAAGGAAAGGAAAAAAAAATACTATGAATAACTCGCAAACAGTGCTGAAATATCGCTGGTGAGAATGAGGCTCGTTAAATTCCTCAAGGGTGGGACGCGTCCTTTTCGTCGACGCACGAGAATGCTTTTGGGGAAGGGTGGGGGGGGGGAGGGAATGGTGGGAGAGAAACAGGGTGGAGATGTGAAAATGGAAAATTTTCTTCTGTGTGCAAAAACAACAAAACATTGATTTGTTTGCCATCGCTGATAGTGAAATTGTTTTCGCGCTCCCTTTTTTTGGGTGAGGTTCTTTTTGTGCGTCACTGCATTTGGACCCAACAATGAGTGTCCTTTCGGTGGTCGAGCCATCGGAGTCCCTGTGATAAGATTTTACCTCTCCGCCAGCGGCAAAAGTTTCGCCGACATGCTGGGAAATTAGAATTATCTTAATTGCATGGGAAGTTTCTGAATGAGAACAGCGCGGCCGTGAAAAGGGGTCGCTGAGGTGAGCGCTCCCTATCAGGTCACGTGAAAACTTTTCGTGCTGGGAGTGATAAAAATTATACAGCGGTGGAAATGGGAAAAATTTTCTGGGCTACGAGTCAAAGTGTGTGACTGTGTGTGAATGCAAAGTATGTCCGAAAAAGGAAGAGCGCGCGTCCGAAGGGTGACCCTTTTCCACCCACTCACTCACCCTAAGAGGGTGGATGGAAACTTTCCTCGTTGATTACCGATGAAGTATTTTAATTGAGTTTCGGAATTTCTCGGCGCAACTCATTTGAATACAGAAATTAGCAATTTCGTCTTTTTCGATGGGTCGCTCCCAGTGTTGGCATCTTCGTCTCACCACCCCCGCAGGGGTGAAATACATGGGGCGGCTGTATGTGAGAAATTTCCGGGGTGCAGAGTGAGAAATTTTCACCAATTAGCATTTCGCTTTCCATATCTCAGCGCCAACAGCAAGAGAGTCTTTTTCACACCAACAAGCCACCCTCAGAGCCATGATGCCACTGTTGAACGCGTGTGTTGGCACAGTGGCTGACGGTGTGTTAGGAACACTTCTCCAGTGCTTTCTTCTTCTCATGAAATTCTCAATTCTCACATGGTTAAACTAATGTTGGAAAAGTCACACATTTGCAAAGCCAAGCGTAGAAATGTAAACTATGAAAGGGAGCGTCAGAATGTAAATTAATTTCATGCTTCTATTGAAATAGTGAATTCTATGCTCACAAGAAAATCTACTTTCAAAATCTCCACTCGACAAGGGGAAAATAATATGATGAGAAGTGATGTTGATTGATTTTTCTCCAAGTTCGCATTTTGACATATTTTTCTAGGTTATGTGACTGATTTTATGATTAAATAACACCTTAAAGTCGAAATTCTTGTGCCTAAATTCAAAGTATTTTCATTTTATTGGTAAAATTACTTATATTTCCCAATTGAAATAATAGAAATAATGCTAAAGTCAAACATAACCTCAATTTTTCACTAAAGAGTACAGATTTAGAGTTAATAATCAATAAGTTTAAGGCACATTTTATCATAATTTTATGATTTTGATCAAGAAAAGAAACGAAATTGTGTAATTTTGGAGGAAGAAAATAATAAAATATTGCATAAAAACGTTACTTTTGAACTTGTCAGTTATAGTTTTCGGTTATATTTGAGTCATCAGTTGATTAGTCAGCATTCCACTCGCGTCAACTGTATCTGCACGAGGGCTTGAAATGATGATTAAGTCACTTTATCAACTACCTATAATATCACTTAATTTTAATTTTGTTTACTGACAGAGTCTCAGCTGGAAGGGTGCTGTGGGGCGCGTGGGTGTGAAAAGAAGGTCCCCCCTTTTATGGTCTCTGGCAATTAATTAAGCGCTGAGAAAGGTGGACTCCAATTTTCATTCTACAACAACCCGCACAAATCGTTGTGACCCAATTCTCTGTGGGGGGGGGGGGCGAAATTACTCAACTTCTTGTACGTGGAAGCACTCAAAATGCCTCCCCAATCAATTGTTATTGCGATATGACCTGGAATTTTTAATCAATCGACGTCAACGTGGAATAACTTTCGGAGAAGACTATTAAGAGGTCATTCAGAATGTATGATGATGACGCAGGAAAGGATATACTTTGTGCTTTGCGAGATGGAGTCCTGAAGACAAATGGGCCAATTATTGTGGTTTGCAGTGAACAACTTTCTATGGTTTCACTGAATATTCATATCATAATTCTGGCATAGAAGAATGTCCATTACCATATTTTAGCCACGAAATCATCAGAACTTTTTCTCAATATGGCATAATTACTATGAATGTTGGCGTCGCATGTTTTGCTTTTCTCATGCAAAATAGACAACAATTGTTGTCAGCCAAAATGACTACCAAATCTTCCTTCCGTCAAATCAATCAAATGCAATTTTTACATGTTGAGGACAAAACCACGAGCACGAGGCGCCCAGTAAACATTCCACCCACTCTGCACACGCCCCAATTTGTCGGGCTGTGTGTTTGGGGGTGGTAGTGGTGGTGGAAAAAAAGACCTCCTCGTGTGCGGCCCAATGTTATATTTCAGGGTGTGTGGCGAATAAATAAAGTCATCATTCATATGCAAATTTTTACAACCACCATTTTACCACGGCTCCGATTTATTTGCATAACATGGAAAACGGTTAAGAGAGCAAGCGAGAGCGGCAGTCCCGAGAGTGCTGCCAGTGGGGGTGGTTTGGGGGGTTGGGACTGCTTATGTTAGACTTCATGTTTCATCAAAATTATGTATGTGCAGGCAAAGAGTGTGATGCATGTGGTTTATCACTTCAGCGCCGCATATTCAAATGCCATATATATATGGCGAACGGGGAGAAGGAATTCAGCCAGACATGTCTGTGCTGTCGCTGCGCAGCCGAAATATATCCTCATAAATCACTATCTATTAAAGCTGGATGGCACAGGGCGCGCACACACACTGCATAGATGAAATAAATTTGTGGCTCCAATTAAATACAATTCCCAGGGTGTGATTTTCACCCTGTGCGAATGAGAGGCCGAAAGAATTGCTGGGCAGAGTGAGTGATATTGACCGCCTCTAGTTTTGCTTAATGACCAATTTCACCCCCTCAGGCGACCGTCGGAGATAAACAAAGTCAACTCGAGGAGATATCAGAGAACAAAAGCCCACCCAAACATCATGTGGGCATTTCCTGCCCATTTGCGGTAGATTTCCCAAGGGCTTTTCCCTCCAAATCCCCTCAAAGTGTTGTCCACTGGAAGTGACTTGAGTCGCCATGTGACGAAATGTGGGCGTCGGCGGTGGAATTAACAGCAGTTCTCGAAGATTCGCCAAGAGACATTTGAGATCACTTCGCAATCTCAGATCCACTGCGATAGTTTGTGCGCTAATTTGCCAATTGAGCGCCAATTTGTGCACCCTTCACGATTCACCACCATCGCATTCGAGGGTGAATGACTCACTCAAAAATGCTATACACCATTATTAATTAGTCGGTCTCTCCTCATGGCAGTGGACCAAGTTTCATCATCAACTATAAATTTCTCGGCGCTGCTGATGGGGTGGAATTAAATTAGGGGTTGTATTACATACAATGGCAACTTGATTAAATCATGTGGAGCCCATAAAACTATAGACCGGCGGCGCGGAGGGTGTGAGATCTGAATTAGGGACATCCACACAGTGAGTAATTGAATGGCTTCCTTTGGCTTTAATAGGAGGGCATCATTAAAGTCGACGGGTCTGTGGAACCCTCCTTGCGTATATACTTTTTCGCATGAAAACAACCACTATTCGGGCGTCTTTATTTGATTTTCCCACCCTTCGTCGCTCGTTAAAGTAAACAGAGTCATTACGATCCTGCATCATTTCGCATTTCGCCTCCATTTTCGCAGGCATTCGCGGCGAGAGCCTCAACTCACAACGACACGACAACGGACAGACGGACATAGGAGCTGACGCGGCGCCGGGTCGGGCTGAGGCTCGGCCCGCGGTGGACTTCCATCGCCGCGCTCATCATCAGCGCGCCGCCGCCATGCTGAGGCGCTTCGAGCGCCAAGTGGCATTCAATGAGACTTTGGCGCCGCATCTGCAGATGGCGTCGCCGCCACTGGACGCGGTCACGCGGCCGCCCAGTGTGAAGAAGCCCACGAGAGTGGACGACGTCCACCCACCCTCATCGGACGGTAAGTGGAGATTAGCTACAATCCCATTTGCAATTGCGGGAATTGCACAATCAACAAATGAATGAGTGTCTTGCGACAATCCATCTGAATGTCACAAGACAATATTTGTGTTGTCATGAAACAAAGTGCAAGAAACTGAATACTTTTCTCAAATTATCATCTCGTCATATAATTAGAAAAACACGCTATTAGAGGAAAGCTCATACGACACTTTGTAGGACAGTCGTAAAAAAATCTCATGACATTCTGAAATCATATTTACCGAAATTCACAATACATTCATACTTAATGTTGCTGATAAAGTGCTTTTTTGATATTCTTTGATGTTTTGCACAATAAGAAATTTTCGCACAATTGTCCTCTGACAAACATACGAATGTCCCATGACTAGTAAAGAAAAATCTACTCACAAATCTATAAAACAACAGACATAATTGTGAACTTGTTGTGCTGAGAATATATGAATTTCCTGTCATAAATGTGATATTTTGAGTTATTTATAACCGAATGTTTTCACAATTCTCACTTATGAATAATTGAAAGAATGTCTCGAATGTCTGCAGAGACAAAGGGGTGGTTTTTTCTCAAGCAAGACATTCTACGTTATTCTGCTGTGGAACTGTGAGATTAAACTCAGCACAACTCAACATGATGAAGTTGAATGATTATTATTCTTTCAAAGTTTCTCACTAAATATTGTAATTACATAAGTCATTGCATTGTGTGAGTTTGTAGAGTTGGTCTAGGCTAAGAGTATATTGTAGTGTTTCGATGTGGATTTGCCTTGGGGTGGAAGACTGAGCGATAATCCGATTTTGCAGCTGCACCTGCTCCGTCCGGTGATAACAAACGTGATAGTAGTGATAAGGAAAGAATTAGCACAAGCGCCATTTACTCTTCCGTCTCTTCCGCCACCACGACCACGACCACCACCGCCACCATTTCCGCCACGCCGGGCGTGCACAACGCCACGCACGGCCGCCCGCCGCCGGCCGACGTGAGCATAGCCGGCGGCGGCGTGATCGACGAGGGCGAGCAGATCATCATCATCGCCGGCGACGGCGAGGAGGAGGTCGTGGTGGCGGACGAGCTGAAGGAGAAGATGCAGCACCGCAACGACGACGCCTTCCTGAGCGACGAGCCCAAGGCGATGCCGCTGCGGCCCATCATCCGCGGCCCCTTCGACGACGAGCACCAGGGCGAGGTGTCCATCGTGTACGCCGAGCAGCACTCTGAGGTGAAGGTGAACTGCGAGGTGGACATGGATATCGTGAGCAGCGTGTGGTCGCGCGACGACCAGGTAAGTCAATGTGACCCACGCTCAAGCACAAGATGCAAACTTCTTGTCGCTCTCCATCTTTGTTTATGAATCGCAATCCGAGGGAAAGTTTTGCACCCAAGAAACTATTGTTGGTCCACCAACAAAAGTCAACTCTCCCAGTCACACCCTGAGCACATTTTATTGTTCTTGTTCTTGTGCTGTTTTATTGCACAGCAACCCTATAGCATAAACTGCCAAAGTGATTTCTATCTTGACATTCTTGGGGAAATGAGGGAATAATTGCCAACAGCCATCAAATGAAAGTCCCACAGATTTACTGACTTTATCATTCCCGCCGAGAGTAATTTACTGAGTGGGAAAATGCGAATGGGATAAAAACAAACTCTTCGCTTATCATTCGCCTAAGTGGATGTTTATTTTTCACAATTGTTTCTTGCAAGAGAGATCAAAAGAATTGTATTTTTAAAGCTTTCTTGGCGGTGGTTTTGAAATTATATATGAATTCAAGTTGGCAAAGCAAGCATTTCAGATCTTTCAAATTAATTATATAACTTCTTCAAAGCCATTTAAACAGATATTTGAGCACATTAATTTTAACCAAGGGGCAGATATTATGGTCAGAAGTGGTGTACAGCTTTTGGAGGAAGTGTTAAGGAATTGGAAGTGGTAAAATGACATTGCAAAAGCTTCTTTTTCAACGAATTTAGGGCATTTTCCAAGATTTTTTTTTTAATAAAATCGATTTTATTGCTTTTATAGGTTATGTAATTGATTTTAAAGAGATTTTAGTGGTTAAAAACCCCTTAAAATTATTCACTTTCTGTTTTATCTGGGAATATTTCTGTTTTTCTTAACATAATTGAGGATTTTGTGTTCGAAAAACTTCATATTGATTGAGAAAAATGCCTAAAGTCAATCATAACCTCAAAAAACTCATATTAGTCGAGAAAAATGTTTATTTTCTTAGTTATTTTCTCGGTTTTTGCTTAAAAGTGAATAATTTAACCTAATTTTCTTGTAGAATCATTGAGATATTCGTTATATTAACTCATTTTCAAATAAGAAAAGATTAAAATTTGTTCATGAAGGGTTTGAATTCATAACCTCAAAGTTTGCTCAGGATTTTTCTAAGCATTTTCCGAAGCAAAAGAACACAGAAAAAGCTGTGAGAAACAGTTGAAGCAGTCAAAAAAAGCAATGGAAAATGCCTTTTAAGACGTTCAGAAGTGATATACATATTTCAGGTATATTATCTCCCCCTTGAGTTCAACAATTGCCACAATTCGAAGTTGAAAAACGACTCAAAGTTATACAGAAATAGACATTTTCGCATATATAATTTCCATCTCACGGAACGCCAATTTCGAAGATGTTTTGTTGGGAGTGTTTTAAAAGCAATAAAGCTGTCTCTGCAGCTGACATTTAAGGTGTTTAATGTTATCATTTCTCAAGGGAAAAGTTGTCCGCATGTTAAATTTAAAAAGTTTCCCCACACACACGCCCTTCTATTTATTGCATTTGACTGTTAGTATCATTTATTCTTGCGAGTGGAAATCAAATTTTTAGTCATAAAACCCAAAAAGTTCCTCCAACTTGTTCGCCATGGTGAAAAAGTTAAAAAACTTAAAATAGCTTTCTGTCTGGCCGTGATGCTGGGGATGTTGAGGTGGGGGTGGGTGGAAAAGGGGGTGTGTGTTGGGGACAAAATGAGCTTTTAAAGTACAATTCGCGAGGAGGAAGAAAAGTTCTCATTAGGGGAGAATGAGAGGTTTCTTTTGTGATATATTCGATGGACGCGCGCTGTTCGCTTCCACTTTCATCCTTGGGCAACTTTCACGCCAAATTTCACATTGAATTATGTAATGTGATTTCCAAGAGGACATCGCGCATCTCCTTATAGCAATGAAATGTACAATTCTCCCTATTCTCCTCGTGACTTTCCATTATTTGATAGACTTTCGTATCCGTTTCTTTGGCGCTTTTCGAGTGATTTCTCACAAAAAGCAACCAATTTCTTTGAGTTCCCTCGAATGACGGTTTAAGAAAGCAAGTCAACATTCAAATTGACAACTGAGGAATAAATTTCTTCGCAACAACTTCTCGTGCTCAAAGTCAAGCGAACAAATGAGAAGCATTTTAATCACATATAATTCTCAAATAGTTTCCGCATACACGTGATGAACGGAAGTCTTGCAACTTTTCCCGTCCGCTCACGTAATTGCCACGGCAGGAGGATTTCCCTTTTCCACCTCCCCTTGCAACAAATGCGTACGCAATACAGAACCACCCTTGAAATGCCACAGCAGATGATCGCTTCAACACATCCCCGAAAACTGCGCCACAACTTCCACAGTCGTCCTGTGCAAGGGAGGAGAAGAAGAGAAAAAAAAACTCCACCACAGAGAAAACGAAGGAAGAAAGTCTGTGGAAAAACACATGAGCTCGAAGGGTTAAATGAAAGTAATTTTCGTCCAGTTTGCCTCCATCCACTTTTGCAAAAGTTCTCGCAAAACTGGGAAGGATAACATGGCGGAAGACAAGACCACAAATCGGTAACTTTTTCCTCCTCCGCACACAATTGTACGCTTAAAGCATTTCGAATAACATTTTGCCGTCGTGTTGCAATTTGCTGAGGGACTTTTATTTGCATAATGCATGAAAACCATCAGTTGTAGGGAGAAGAAAAAATATCGTTAATGGGAGAGTAAACGAATCCACTTTGACTTTTTATCCGTTCAACCTGAAAAAAACCCCCCGGAAAAGAGTGACGAGTCAGTGAAACGGAGAGTCCTTTTGGGTGTGAGAGAGAGAGGGAGAGGAAAAGCCACGAAAGGAGAGAATTTGAATATTTGGCTAGTGAGAAAGAATCCGACATGCTTTCCATTCCAATGGACATTGTTCACACTTCAATTAACCGCCGATTGTTCAAATTATACTCTCTCTCTCTCTACTTCCTGGGCTTTCCATCGTATTTCACTTACTAATTTTCCGCTGAGAAACAGAGCTTTTTACACATTTGTCAGGGATTTGCTGAATTTTGGAGCAATTCTCAGTCACACAAAATATGTAAAAAGTGTGTTATATTGTTTTAACACACGTCTTTGTTATTCTGAGTCACATGTGAAAGGCTTAAAATGGCGCTTGTGTAAAAATATTCACCACTTGTGTTATTTGCTATTCTGGCCAACATGTGTTAAGCCATTTTGTATCGCCAGAATGTGTAATTTTAACACAACCTCCAGAGGTTGTTTTAAAGAATGCGAAATGTGTCCAAAGCAGATTGACAGACGTAAATCTCCAAATATCTTGCAAAGATGGATAAATCTGTGATTTTAGCTCTAATTTTCAAGCTTGAACATGAATTATGTTTACAGTAAATCCTTTTTATTATTGATTTACTAGTTATGAACTTGAATTTTAGTAATCTTGCCAAATTTCACCATTTTTCCTCTCTCACTCATTGTGGTGGCGCTTAAAACTCTAACACATAGTTTAACATTTTAGTGTGTGACTCAGAATTGCTTCATATATATTTCAAAAAAAAGGGGGCGGGGCACTGTAATGGGCGGAGCATCTCAGTAATGACACTAGAAGTATAGAGCTTTGAATTGGAAATCTCAGCAAAGTGCCTCAATTGCAATGATTGCAGCGGCAATTGACAGGATGTAGAGCAGCAGATCCCAGGTCGATTTGCTGGATTTATTGCACAGGTCCGTGTGGCAGGTCTCGCAGGACAAGTAGACGGTGAACTTGGCAATGTCGGATTCGCAGTAGTTGAATCCTCCGCAGCTTCGCACCGTCACATTTCTGTCGCCGACTGCAAAGGCGGGGGAACAATTGGGGCTGATTTGGAGGTACAGAGGCGATTGATTGCTCATTTATTATATACTTGTCTGGGTGGCCGTGTAGCAGACATCCTTGTACAGCTCGCCGAAGGCGAACTCGCAATCGAGGGAGTGGGTGCGCCTGAGTTGGCCCACATCTGAGCAGGGGTGCGACTCGTCGCCGCTGCAGACGAAGCACCTCAAGGAAGTCACTGGAATGGTTGGCAATCAGGGAATGGCCGTGAAGTGAAGGCGCCCAAATTACCACTTGAAATTCCAAGACATATTGACACGAGCAGAATCTCCCAGAGCGCCATTTCGCCGTCAAGTGAAACACATTCAATTCAACTCTGTGACACGACGAGAACTGATTTATTCACGACATTGAGCTGTGATTTTGAATGCCATCAGATAGCGATGTGGATAAATTCATATGAATTGTTCTCATTATTTCACTCATCGATAAATCAAATTAACACATTTTTGGTGTTAATGTTGATTATCAGTATTTTCCGGGGTGGAGGAGAGAAAAAAAATGCTATATTGAGTGCTTGTTATCGTTTTCATCAACAATTTGAAATATTACCGCTTGTCAAATGATAGTTAATTTAGTCAATATTCTCGCATTATCTCCAAATTGTGCCAATTTTCATAAATATTTCCCCCAGTGAATCACTCGCTGAGCGCAGTTATTTTCACTCTATGAAATCCCATTAACCAATAATGGGTAGCATCAAATATTACAACGTCAAATCTGGGTTGCAAACATGAGGACTTGCAGAGGGTGAGAAATGTGCAATTGATCAGGATTTTCCAATGAAGCGACGAAGAGGTTAAAATCTTAGATATGCGACATGAAGCGATTCATTTATCATTGATGAAGCTTGACATAGAAACCATCTTTCTCCCCTCATTCACAGAAGAGTGCAATTGTGAGGGTGTGCATGGATACAAACGCCTCATAATCTGAAAACTTGATGCTCCCCCAGCCACTCTTCGAATCCTTGCCGCCCTCAGACCGTAGTCTAACGTATCTTTCCGTCTCTCCAACAGATAGTGCACACAATGGACAGAAATTCTCGGCCGACGAACGATTATCGTTTCATAAGAGAGCCCAGAGGCGGATTAACAATTACCAATGTTATGCTGGAAGATGATGGCAAGTGGCAGTGTGAGGCTAAAAATGCCAGAGGATACGTGGAGAACGCCCGACCAGTTAAGCTGGTCGTTTTAGGTAAGTGCCACACAGCTCGAGAGATGATTGGAAACTCAATCGGGAGTGCATACATCCCCAGAGTTGGGGGATCGCTTATTTAGAAAAGATGCTCCATAAGATGCAATCAAATCAACTGTTGTGAAGAGGTTTCTTATTGCAACTGTCCAATCAGATGCAGTGCTTCATTTAATCATGAATGCAGATTATTTGATGGAGAAATTGATTGAGTGTACAAAGGAAAGAAAGGACTTCACTGTGTTCGAAGAATGAGTTCCAGGATTGAACGAAGACAGTGAATACGTACTTAGAAAGATAGGAAGACACAAATCCTTTAGAGATGAAATGCACAATCTTCTTCCATGCTTAACTGAATGTCAAAGAGATGCGATCAAAAGTGACAAATAAGATTTGAGAGGTAAAAGATTAACGAAGATAAAAACATAACGTCGATCCTAATACTCTTCAATTAACTTTGAGTGCTAGAAATTTATATAATATCATTTTTTCCTCTTCTGTTGTGTAATTTCATTCATTTCTTTTCGGAGTGGGCGGTGCTTCTGAATGGGCGGAGCTTAATACAATTCGTCTGCTCCAGGGCTCACGTTATTGGATAATGCTCTCCTGCATGGTTTCCTTTCCTTTCTTCTCGAGCCCCTTGTGTCCTTGGCCCGGTTTTCTGTGCTCTTCCGTTTCTGTTTCGTCTTTCTTTAGCTTCTTCACTGTCTTCCCGCTCCCTTTCTGTCTATTTTTGATGTGTTTCTTTATTTATTTTTTGGATTGTGTACGATTCTTCAGCTCGTGCGTCTGTTTTTCTGCACTTGATTATTTAAACTATCTCAATACGTCGCCAATTATTCCTCCACCCCCTTGCCTTCCTGATCTATATATTTTCTGTATATATAGCTATGTCAGCTTATGTACAATAATGTGTCGTTTATCCCACTGAGGCTGCATTGAATGTCGGCGGCAGACGCCGCTCGGTAAAATACTCGCACAAATCGCAACTACACACGCTTCAGCTCTGCTGTGTAATTACAAGACAGAGAGAGAGAGAGCCTCCCTCTGCAGACGAGTGTTGATAGCTATATACAAGGCTCTAAGGCTCCGCATTTCACTCTCTGTTTCACACTTTGAGATAATTCGCCGTGGTTTAAGCTGCACACCGGGTGTCGCTGTGTCCACCCCGAAGCCTGGCCATTGTTTTTCTCAGACCATCCGAAGGGTGTGAGGGTAGTTTATGCTATTTTCATTTTCACCGTATCCGCATTTCGAGGCGTCGACGAGAGGCGGCAAATGGCCAATTTCGGACTGAGTGCTCTGCAGCCCTTTTTCCACCCCCCGGCCGAATGGGGCATTCTTCAGGCGACGAGAGAGAGAGAGAGAGTGACTAAATTAAATTTTTCATGGTCATGGTTATGATGCGGACACCATGAATATTATAAGCGTATTACGGTTATTTCGCACTTTTACCTCTTCACCACCTATTTTATTTAATTAAATATCAGCCGCGTCAGTCTATTTTTCTCACCGGTTTTAATTAGCTCCGCTTCTTCTCAGTCAGATGAACCTCTTAATTGAATCAAGTGCACTTTTCCATGCACATCGCCAATTACGCCATTGCCAAATTGACTGGCGAGATGCTGATTTATTGGGAGGGCGGCGCTGCTGAACTTTTTAATTCCATCGGACACTCTTGCATGCTCATTAATTTGGCCTGAGAAGCAGAGCTTTTAGCTGTAGATAATCATGTCTGCCACAGAAACCCCACGAAGCTTTCAATATTACTAAACTATTTCCGCACTTTGACGGAATGAGATTAAGCGCACAGTCTTTGTTGAAGTTGTGAAAAACACTCTCGAGAATGCGCCGCAGTAATAAAAGTAATTAATTCATGTGTTTGAAATTCGTTGGGAATGTCTCAAAGTTTGTTAAGTGAAAAGCTCTCTTCAAGTATGGAAAGTGTGTGTGTATATATAAAGTTCTTGTGAGCCTCGCTAACAAAACAAGACACGAAGACTTTCCATCATTTTCCGCATGACAACCTTTCTGTCTGCTGCACAAAAAGAACACATTCTCTGCGCCTCGTGACATTTTCTGTGTGAAACTATTAAATTATTGCGGAATTTTGTGCGAATGGCGTTTGGCACAATCATAAATTTTGATATGGAAAGCGTGTGCTTTAAAGTTTTCACTACACCGTCGCTCCATTCTGATGGTTTGGGTGTTTCACAAGGGGGAGATAATGCAGTGAGAAGTGGTGTACGGCTCAGCAGAAGTACTTAAGAAGTAAAAGTGTTGAAAAAGCTACAATATTTCCTTTCCTGCGTGCTTCTTTTACTGACTAATCATTCAGATTCTCTGAATTTCCTTCGATTTTCACGCAGAAACAAACGCATAAATTTTTTCTTAGGTTATGTAACGAATTAAGAACCGATTTAGGAAATACTTCGCATTGTAGAACAAGAAATTCTGCCAGTTCTTGGCAGAATTGAGCATTTGCAAGCAATTCACCGTGATTTTGTCGATCTTTTGATGCCAAGAAACACTGCAAATTGTGCTAAGATTGAACATAACCTCAAAAATACTCATTTAGACTTGAAAAATGTTCATTTAGATACCTTTCTGGACAATTTTAACTGAGAATCAGTAATTTTGGCAAAATTATTGGCAAATTTTGAAGATATCTTAGTGATATTTTGAGGTTATGGTCCGAAAAGGTAAAAAAAAACGGTTTGAAGTGAATTCTTAGAGAAATATCAGATGAAAACATAATACGACATAATCTTTTGCTTTGATTGGACTCCTTTAATGCCAGGAAATATCTCAAATTGTGCCAAAATCAAACATAACCTCAAAAATTGTCATCTTTTTTGGACAATTTTGATACTAAAAACTGCCAAACGGATTCCAGGTGATCTAGAAAGCTTCCAAACGGAGTTTTTAGAGATCTTTCAGTGATATTTTGAGGTTATAGTAGGAAAAATACCCAAAACAAATGATTTAAAGTCGATTTTTACAGAATTATCGAATGCAAATTTAAGAGATTAAATTGAATGTCGGGATTAATGTGGAATACAGACTACAAATTTCATGTTATCTAGAAGTGTTTGAAAGTGGTGTACAGATTTATAGCATATTATCTCCCCCTTGGTGTTTCACGATGCTTTTATTGCACACAATATAATTTCATCAAGTCTCGAACTTTCCCCTTATGGATAAAAACCGAGAAGTGCTCGACAAATAAAACTTCCACGGCGGGCGCGAAGGGGAAATCACGCCACAGAAGCTCATTTGACTTGCCGTGTTTCGCCTTTTATATTGCCACAAGTGTTAAACAAAGCTTGTCTAAATAATTTTTAAAGTCGCAGGCAAAACTTCTCACGGAGCCGTAATTCAGTTTGGCCGTCAAAAGTTTGCCATTCACATCAATTTCACTGATAGAATTTCTCTCTCTTTTTCTTTGTAATTTAAGTGAATTTCACTCTGGAGGAAATTGAAAGCTTTTGAGGGACATAATTTTCAATTTTTTTTTTCTCTCTCTCTCTGAAAGGAAATTTCAAATTAAAATAAATAAATTGACACAAGAAAGCCATGCAATTTTCTTCTTTGAAAAAAAAAAAACACAGAATAGCAAATTTTCCTCACACAACTTATGAATTAGAAGAAGCTTCACATGACTTTTCGGTGAAACTTTTATTGATTGGTCAAATGGGGAAAAAACAGATGACATTACGAATTTATCATTCAGACGAAATGCAATATTTCATTTCAATTAATTGAAAATATTTCCCTCTTTTCTCTCCTGGTGGTTTGTTTGTCACACATTGCGACTCAATTGATGTTGAAATGCATAGACAGACTATCAGCAAATATCCCGAGGGCAGAGCGTTAAATTTTAAATCGTCTTTCAGCGTATAAATCCACTTTGTTGCATTCATGAATCCAATTCTGCGGAACTGTGCTCCCAACTAATGACCATCCAAGCTAAACCGCACGTTATTTGATCAGCTTTGGTCCCGAGACACAGCAAATAGAGAAATCCTTTTTTGGTTTCACTTCAACCATTTTAAAATTGGACTTTGTTGTAAACATTCAATTGCAACAAAAACTATTTGTAGTGACGCAGAAATCAGACAAAATTTCAACAGTTTATTTTGCAATTCTGCGCAACATTTTTATAATATTCACCAAGAAGCAATAACTAATCGCGCAATGCTTTCATGTCTTGTATCATATAGGATAAAAAAAATGTCGTGTGAATAAGTAATGAGATTTATCATCAGCGCAACTTTCCCTTCCGGTGACTTCGCAGCTCCCTTCGCGCTGTCTTGAGACATTATCGGGCTCCCGCAACGCCACTAAATAACAGCCAAGATAGTGCTTTGTTCTCCATGATTGTGTGGCAGAAAGAATCTCACACGAGGGGCCAAATTTAATCATCTCTCGTGGATGAGATCCGCTCCAGCGCCCCAATAGACTCCCGATAAATTTCCCACCAATTGGCCATTCCCCGGAATTCGCTCTCCCTCAACCCTCTCGGCAGGATAGAGGGAAGAGTCAAGGGGGAGATAATACAGTCCAGAAGTGGTGTACAACTCAGCGGAAGTGCTTAAGAAGTGGAAGCATTGAAAAACTCACAATATTCCTTTCCTGCGTGCTTCTTATACTTGAAAATGATCCAATTTCTTTAGATTTATTCTTGCATTTTATGCAGAAACAATCAAATTATTCCTTTTTGAGGTTATGTAACGAATCTAGGGATAAATTTACTGAATTTTTCGCTTTCTAGGACGTCAATTCTTATGCTCAAGTCAAAGAAATCGCTAATCTTTCACAAAATGATCCATTTTCATGCCAAAAAACCCTGCAAATTGTGCTGAAATCAAAAATAACCTCAAAAATTTCGACTTGAACTTGAAAAATGTCTTTTTAGAAAACTTTCTGGACGATTTTGATTCTGAAACAGCAATTTTTAGATCATTATGTGATCTAGAAAGCTTCCAAGCGGAATCTTTGAA